AAAATTTTGGCACAGGGGAATTGTAATCCGCATTTTGATATAAAAATGCTTAGCCGTGTTTTAATATACTTTCTACTACGCTTAGCCGTTCGCCGGCTTCGTGATAGAGTGAACAAAAACAAGAAGTTACTATCGCACGGCAAGTGCCGCGTTAAATCCTTGCGAAATTAGACAATATGGAATGATTAACTTAATCTTTTCGAGCCAGTTTCAACATGGCAATATTTTCTTATACTTGTAAACGGATTTTGCACATAGAGGTATAAAAAGAATAAAAAATAGTCAGAATAAATAAAGGGAAGAAATATTGTGAGTCTGCTACAAAACATGAGTTCAACTGGATTTGAACCCAAACACTTATCGAGACAGGCTAAAGGACATACCACTAAGCCATCAGTGGACGACTTGTAATACTGGTAAAATTAAAAACACAAGTACATTGTTGTGAGCTGCTCATCTCATGAGGTGAATCGCATTTCGGGCAAAATGAAATAAAAATTGTTATAGACCGACAGAGAAAGGTTCAAAACGGATATTGATGCAGAAAGTTTTGGCACAGGGGAATTTTAATGCGCATTTATAAATAAATAATGCTTAGCCGTGCTTAGCCGTGTCTTAATATACTTTCTACTACGCTTAGCCGTTCGCCGGCTTCGTGGATCGACGTGGATCGTGTCAATTAAAACTAGAAGTTACCATCGCAAGGCAAGTGCTGCCTTTGAAACCAAATCAAATTTAGAAAATTTCGGCCCATTTTTCGGTTTAGGTCGACTTAGAAATGTTCAAAACATTTATTGATGCAAAAAGTTTTGGTACAGGGCAATTTTAATGAGTATTTTGATATAAAAAGTGCTTAGCCGTCCTTAGCCGTGTTTTAATATACTTTCTACTAGCTTAGCCGTTCGCCGGCTTCGTGCATCGACTCAACTATAAACTAGAAGTTACTATCGCAAGGGAAGTGCTGCCTTTTAAACTAAATTCAAATTTAATAAATTTCGGGCCATTTTTCGGTTTAGATCGACTTAGAAATGTTCAAAACATTTATTGATGCAAAAAGTTTTGGTACAGGGCAATTTTAATGAGTATTTTGATATAAAAAGTGCTTAGCCGTCCTTAGCCGTGTTTTAATATACTTTCTACTAGCTTAGCCGTTCGCCGCCTTCGTGTATGGTGAAGGTTTCCGTTTTTATAACGTAGAAAAAACTATCCTAACGCAAAACTAAACCCTAACCCTAATACTAACCCTCACCCCAACCTCAACCTAACCCTAACCTAAACCCTAACCTAACCTTAACTTATTTTAATTATTTTAAAAATTAATAAAAAAACGGAAATCTTATTTTGAAGTATACTATCTAGCAATTGCCATAACGGTATAGAACACGGGAATTTTCCACGAACCTCAAAATAACACACTAAAACAAACATTTTCGGCTGAAATATCGATTAAAAATCTTCGTCAACTTGAAATTTTGTAAACAAGCAATGGAAAACACTCACCAAACGTTTTTTCGCTTTAAATTTTCTTTAAATCAACTTTTTCAGCGTGTTTTTTTCCATAATTTTGCAGTCGGGAAAACTGAAAATTGATGCCGGTATTGTTGCTAGGCAACATTTTCTTGTTATTGTGTAATGAGAATATACTTTTTAATCGCGTGAAAAATATTGTTTTTGTGTTATTATCAGAAGGTTATTTAATAAAGGAAATAGAAAACATTTTTTGCTGTGTTTCTATAGAGTTATAGAAACACTTGTGCTAGTTTGGGAGAACTCGAAATAACGTTATAGAGTTATAGAAACACGCGTGAAAGTTTGGGAGAAACGAGAAATTGCGTGGTAACACGAGCACGAAAAACAATAGAAAAGATAAATTTATTGATTTTAATTGCTTTCATTCAAATATTAATTCCACCTTAATATACGTTCGTGTAAAGAATAATTATAAAGAATAGCAAAGTAAAGAAGTACATCGCTGTCAAAACAACAGACAGCACTTATAACAGGCTTTAAAACTTTACAAAATGAGTAATTCACTCAACAACGTACATGCTTGCATGCAAAGTAAGTACTGTTTTTAAATAGTTAGTGAACGTTTAAACATGATTATTATACATTGTAGTTGGTAAAAGCAATTTGATTGGCTAAGAGCTAACAGTTAAATCGCGCAATCACGCAACCTACACAAAATTCAGTTATCTGCTAGCAGATAACTCAGTTATCTGCTAGCAGATAACTGAATTTTGTGTTAGGTTGCGTGAAATTGAATGAGTGTACATTTCAAATGAGTGTACATTTCAATTTTCAAATGAATGTACATTTCATAATTGTAATGTTTACTTTAACAAGTAAATATTTTAATACGTTAACATCTTAACGATAATATGTTTCTTTTATATTTGTAATTAATTTAACTGTTGGACTTCCGGAGACTTGTTTATAGAAACGTTTTAATTGAACAGCTTTGCCAGAAATCATATTGAATATAACGCTTACCGAGACCTTGATAATTTTGCATATTGCAAAAACCGAATTCAATAATTGTTTTATTATTTAAAATACTATGTTTATTATTCTTCAAATGTATAATAAAACAATTATTGAATTCGGTTTTTGCGATATGCAAAATTATCAAGGTCTCGGTAAGCGTTATCAGCCTCGCCTTCGGCTCGGCTGATAACGCTTACCTCGACCTTGATAATTCCGCATATCACAAAAACCTCATCCAATAATTGTTAATTAAAAACTATAGTAAACATGATTAAAAACGTCGCGAGGAAAAATTTTTTTAAAAAGACAAAGTAAAATTAAAATATCTTACCTTGGTAAACAGTCAAACAGATACAATGTGTGCTATAATTACACTTTGTGCTTTAGGTCTTCGCTTTCTATAAAGTTAGCAAAGTGTTGCCTTTTTTGTGACGGTTCCTCGGCGTTTCGGGACGTTTTTCAACTTTTTTCAAAATTAAATATTGTTTTAAACTCCCACGCAATCCACGCAACCCGCGTGAAAATTCCCCGTGTTTCTATCGAGTTATAGAAACACGGGTTTTTTGAGCTTTTGACCAATCAGCGCCCGTATTTTTAAAAGGCTATTTTATAATACTAATAAAGTTTCATTTCAGAATCATCCTCAGAGATGCGAAAAACTAGTTTCATATTATTCTACAATAATATTTAACTAATAAAGGATGACGTTACTTTAGAACTGATAGAGCTATATCAAGTATAAATATAATTTATATAGTAAATATTTTTAAAATTGTTTTATTCTACATATCAACTACAGTGTACAGTAGTCAACATCAGGAAACTATATTCACTATATACAATAATAAAATGAGCATATCAAAGTCCAATATTATAATACTTATAATGTCAAGATTTTATCTTGATTTTTATCAATTATGTAACGTCTTTCGGTATATTGTGTGAGACAAACTATCAAGATTGCTCTTAGAATTCCTACCAGTGCATGCTTTTCAAGCTATTTTGTCTTGATAATTTATCTTGTATTATACATGCAGCACGGATAACGTGACTTGATTATTTGGGACTATAGAACTAAACTACACTAGAGCTAAATTCGTGAAGTATCGCGTCCACTAACTTTGGTCTTGATCCAATCGAAAGCAACTAGAAACCTCGTCCGCCACCCAACACATTCGTTCAGATACGATGCTCTCCAGAGCCACATGACCCACCAGCCGGACAAACTACCAAACATCGGTACCTTAAGAACCGCTTTGTCGTCACCGACATAGGCAAATGAACCCAAATGTCGATACTTGAATGGCCCTAAGCCTAGAGTTTTGAAATCTTGATTTTGCTCTTGTGAATGCAGGTTTGTAAAGAGATCGCCTAGATAGTGGCCTTGTTGTGAAGCGACTTGCGCAGTAGCTGGATAACTGCGAAGCTTACTGTCCACCTTTTTAAGAATTTCTCGAAATTCACTCATGCTCAACCTCTTGTTACCGTCCTTGTCAACTTCGTTAAAAGCTCTGAAAAGAAGAAATATTATAAGTTCAATCAATGGAGAGAAAAGTATTATGTGCGTCTTTGCGTTCAATGATTGGGGTTTGCGATCACTGCGTGGTTCGTCGATTCCTGCAATAGGGACGTTGTCTGAATATAATTATTAGACAGATTTAGATCGAAGACGGGGACGTCAAAAACGACGTGAAAATGGCGTGTTGTGGCCACATATGGATATGCCATGACGCCATTTTCACGTCGTCTTTGACGTCCGCATCCTCGATCTAAATCTGTCTTAAGCTACGTTTACACGCTGCGATTTGTCGGGCCGATTTTGAAAAAAAATCGATGTGCCTTCTTCGACATTTAGCGATTTAAACGTTCAATTGAAGCTGTCCGCTCTCTCGTCTGTTCATATTATAGTTTTCTGCGTGCGAAAAGTTTTCAACAACTTTACAACGGAAGAAAAATCGTTGAATCGTGAGAAAATCTGTGGTTTTGTTACAGATTTTTCTCACGATTTTGTGAATCGCAATGTGCTGACGCGAGTACTCACGACAGGTTGTTTACATACAGCGAGCAAAATCGGCCCGACAAATCGCAGCGTGTAAACGTACCTTTAAGGCCGTCGGCGAAGTGTCCGCCCGCGCGGGCAAAGCGACTGCAATGGAAAATTTCCTTTAATAAGGTTAAAAGGACTAACGGGATCGCTTAGAATTGACAGAGGTATTCATAATAAATAATGTTTAGGTTTCCTGCTATCGTAACACTGGAACAGTAAAGGATGAACCTAAGAGGCTCCAGTACTCCAGTATATATACATTTCTTACTTTTTTAAGGACTTTTGCCAGGCAGTTGAAAAGTAAGAAGAGACTTGTGGATATTTTCGTTTTGCTTCTTCCATTATACCTAGAAATATATAAACGCATGATGAAAACTAGGCCGGTAAAGGGAGGTAAGAGGCAGAACAATAAGCAACTTACAAGTTAGACTAATTTTTGATCTGGGCAAAAAAATTAAATTCCCGTAATGAAAATTAGTAAAATTGCAACATTTGGTTACGAAATGTTGTAAAATACCGAAAATATAACCTTGCCAAGTTTGCATATTTTGTATATGTTTGTATTACGTGCGGAAATTGTTACCATTTTTCAGCCGAGAATGGTAACAATTTCCGCACGTAATACAAACATATACAAAATTTGGAAACTTTGCAAGGCTATATATTTTCCAAGCTTTACAACATTTCGCAACCAAATTTTGCAATTTTACTAATTTCGTTATGTTCTTTTTAACTGTGATGTTGATTCCCTTCTCTTTACTTAGATTAAAATTTAGTCTAACATGCAAGTTGTCCATTAAGCTAGGCTCGGTAACAAAAGTAGTTATTTCATGATTGACTCGGTTTTCTTTGATGTACCGCGGGCTGTATATAGCATAATGCCCTTGAATACCATAAAGCCCTAATTAGTCAAGAAATAAGGGAGAAAACTAGAAAAATACTTGTCGAAATCGAAAAAAAAAGAATAAAACTTTGTTAGAAAACCTCTTCAATCATGAAATAAGTCAGTTAATTACCGAGAATGTCAGGCTTTATGCTATATAAAGCCCTCGAACGCTTCGCGTTCTCGGGGCTGTATATAGCATAAAGCCCTCCTTCTCGGTAATTAACTCTTACATAATGGCTCTCTAATTTACCAGTGAATTCCTCCATTGTCAATGTGCCATCTGCGTCTCTGTCCGCTTTTTGAAACCACTCTTCAACATTCTCAACAATTTTCTCTTGTTCTACGACAGAGCAATCCCCAACGGCATATATCGTTCCGTTACTGTTTTTTACTCGGAGATATTCGTCTGTTATTAAACCATTCCTGGCAAATAAATAGAAAGAAAAAAGACAAAGAAATCATTACCGTGTCGTGGTTTTATATGTGCTAAAACTGAATCATGTTAATTTGCATAAACTTTAGCTTTGATTTTCTCGGCATAGACAATGTTGATTTTTGTTCTTCCCGAAAGAACTCATAACTAGATGAGTCGTGTTTTAAGCCATTTAAAACACTCGCAATCCGTACATTATCAGATATAGAACACTCGGCTGACAGTTGCCTCGTGTTTTATATCAGATAAAGCCCTCCTGTTCGTGTTTGAAACAGACTAATAGTACTTAAATTACGTCAAAGACAAAGACACTGATTAATAAGCCCAGATAATCGTCACTGTACTGACAGCCACTGATGAAAATCTGGGCTTTTCCACAAACAGCATAAGGATTACATTTTGATTACATTTATATCAATTCCCATTCAAAAGCACCAAAAGGTACAATATTAACCTGTTTGTCTGGCCAGGAAGTTTCTTGGCAATTTCCTTGGTCAAAGGTGATGGTGCAATCCCAGTGGCCCAAACACAAGCACCATACGTCGCTACCCTCTTTTCTTTTGTCTTTTTATTCATAATGACCAATGATTGTTCATTCACTTCAGTAACACGCGAGTCCGTCACACAATCTATGTAGTCCGTCTTGAAATGCTTCTCTGTATATTCACTTATCTGAAATTTATATAAGGCAAGGGTGATTGTCGACTCCATGTCTATAATAATATATTTCTTTGAATTTACTGCATGTAAAGACCGATTTTAATACACTACACAATATTTGCCTAAAAAACATGCAACCTGTTTACAATTTATGTTGTTGTGCAGGTGAGTTGTGTGCTTGATTTACACAGTGCAACTTTAGTAAGTTGTAATTTGTAAGAAGGTTGCATGCGACAGTTTAGGCAAAAGTTGTGTAGTGTAAATCGGTTTTAAGAAATGATGACTTCATATACAGCCTTTATTGCGAATTAAAATATCTTTCGTGTACATTAATGGCCTCTACCTGTTCATCGTAGTTATTCAAGATGTGATCTCGGCTGTGTACAAGTGTAATCCGAGCATGTTCGGCAAGTCCTGGATATTGTCGATTTAAATCTTCTTTCACAAAATCTCGTAGCTCGGCTGCAAATTCTACACCTGAAATCACACAAGAAGAATGAATCAGTCTTTACATTTATTTGACTTATTTTCCAACTGGCCAATCAACCAAATTACTGACCAACGGTCAGAACTGATTAGCTGACTAACAAGTCAAACAACTGACAGACTAACTTACCTGTTGGTCCACCACCAACAACAACAAAATGCAGCAACCTTTTAATATCACTTTCTGATTGACCTTTCATAGCAGCTGTCTCAAAACAATCTACAATACTGTTCCTGATCTGTCGAACATCTTTGATAGATTTCAGAAAGTGACAGTGCTGTTCAACTCCTGGCGTATTGAAAGTATTATTCCTTGCACCAACAGCAACAACCAAGAGATCATAGTTCAACGTGAATTCTGGATTCGAGCTAGTAATACCTAATGAAAATCAATTGAAGTTTAATTTTGTAGTCGCCACATTTTGTAATAATTGGATTGTCATATTCCGTTCAATGCGTTTTTCAATATTAAAATGGTAGATATATATTCATAGATAAATAGATTTCGTCAAACCAACCTGATATATCTCTACACTTAATTTGCTGTTTTTCAATGTCAACGTCCATACACTTTGCCTCGTGAAACTGAACCCCTGTCTTATGCCATTTGCTGTAGATTTTTCTGATTGGCTCTACAAGACTTCGAGCTTCGAGTGTACCGACTGTCACACTGGGCAGCAAAGGTGTCATCAAAAAATAATTCCTCGGTGAAACAATTTCTATGTCATATAAATCTGGCTTGAGGTTCCTTAAAAACGTGATGCATAATTTAGATTCTTGCACTTCACTTGGTCAAATTAATATTAGGATGTTAGGGTTTGTAATCCAAGTGAGAATATATACATTTTAAGACCTAACCAGGAACGACTGCGAAAAATGCAGCACAAAGTCCTCTGGTAGGAATTGAACCAACAACCCTGCAATTCCGGTGCAGCGCTCTAACCAACTGAGCTACAGAGGCCAGCTGTTGAGCTGTAACCGTAAGTTGAGCTGTAACAGTAAGTTGAGCTGTAACCGTAAGTTCGCAGGGCCGTGGGTTCAATTCCTACCAGAGGACCTTGTGCTGCATTTTTCGCAGTCGTTCCTAGTTAGGTCTTAAAATGTATATATTCTCACTTGGATTACAAACCCTAACCACAGAAGAAGGTACACAGAAGGCCGACTTCTTTGTTTTTCCTATGATTTTGCTATGATTTTGGCGTAACCTGTAATTCGTCATCAAATGCTGACGCCATGGTCCTAGCCAGTGCGCGTTTGAGAGGCATTCGCCCCCCTGATATTATTCAAAATGGCGGATGTCCAGGGGGGGAATGCCTCTCAAACCCGCACTGGCTAGGACCATGGCGTCAGCATTTTGATGATGAATCATGGCGTGGCAGCGTTACTCGAGTCGACCTTCTGTGTACCTTATTCTGTGCCCTAACATCCTAATATGCATAATTTAGAATTTCTTAACAAAATGTACTTGATATCACAGCAGCCATTTTGGTGACATATCAACAAAGAATCCCTTATCTTTCAGTGAATTTGGCAATAACATGCATGGCTGCTGTTTTATTGTCTTCTAATTCCTAAGAGATTGCTTGCAAATTTGCAATCTACTTATTTTGACACTTAGTATCAAACACATTTTATTTTATTGTATAATTTTTGTCAGTGCCATCTATACCTTAAAAAATTAACAGCAGCCCACCCGGATCCCAAGACTACGATTTTCTTTCGTTTGTGTTCTTCAGAGGCCAATAAAGGTCGTGGCTTTTCACACAGATACAGAACAGAGCCAGTGCTGACAACAAAGACGCCAAAATATTTCAGCAAAGGTGTCATCTTTTTACCGAAATTTAGGTTCGTTCTTTCGCTGTATTTGCTCGCGAAGAAGATTAAGCGTTTTAAAAAATCCGTTCCTTTACGTGGCATGTTTAAAACCAGTAAAAAATCAGTTAAAATACAGTAAAATCGAAGAGAAAAATCACACAATAAAAACTTAAACCTTTAAATTACAGATGTAAACAGTGTTTTGTCACCCTATCGCGATTAACTCCGAGGGTCAGAGCTCCGATGGTATAAATACCGTAGATCAGCGCGCTCACCTCATTCCAAATATAAGCCCCCCCTCCCCTCCCGAATATAAGCCCCCCCCCCCAAATATAAGCCCCCTCATTGTCTTTATGGCTTACTATGTTAATCAAAGCGCGTTATTACAGTAAAGTTTATTTTCCTGTTTATGACTGACTTGTTAATTACAAACACAAAAGATCGTCCATGTACAAGCTCCCCCGTATACAACCCCCCCCCCTTTGTATAAGCCCATCAAAAATCGCTTACGAAAGAATATAAGGCAGGGCTTATAGTCGGAGGTTTACGGCAGCCATTTAACACCACTTCCATCTTCCCAAAATGACCGCTCATATCTGTACCAAATTTCTGTAATATGCTCATGAGCATATTACTGCATGGATTTCTGTATCTCCAATACATGTACCAAAATCCAGTATGCTCTCGGAGCACGGTCATATAAAAGATATCAAATTCACTTCTCATGAGTTGTGCTCATGAGAATACTCATGAGCAAAGTTATCTTCGCACTGCTTGTCACAAGTTGTCAACAAGTTTGAAACAAGCTGTTAACAATTTGTAACAACATTGTTGGCATTATCAGGCTTGTATACAGTATTACAAGGTTGTTCCAACAAGTCCGATACAGTTATGATATAACAGTATTGTTACAACATTGTGTCGTCAACCTTGTAACATTCTTGCTATATCATGACTGTATCAGACTTGTTAGAACAACCTTGTAACAAGTCTGATAATGCCATCAAGCTTGTTCCAAGTTGTTAACAGCATGTTCCAAACTTGTTACAACAACTGGGAACAAGCAGTGCGAACACAACTTGTCGACAGCTTGTGAACAGATTTGTAAGAACTTGTTTGCAGACTTGTAACAACTTGTGCGTTTTTATGTGTATAGTTCTACTTTCATGGCGTGTCCGCGAACATTCAGGCGGACAAAATGTGCACAGATTAAGGCGGTTAAGCAACTACAGAGAAAGTTAAGTAATGTTCGCTCCGCCCGCGCGGGCAAAGCGACTGCAATGGGAAATTGCCTTCTAGTAAAACGAAGTCTTATGCCATGCCTAGCCATTACGGGCCACTTTAGCATGATACTTGAACCACTTGAACTACTTGCGTCTTGAGCCAACTGGGCCACCTTCCTCCAATTAGTCCATGACCACATATGTACACAGTTTTATTATTGGAAGCAATACAATGTGAGGACATATTAATATTATTAATTGTCATTGATCAACTTGTCTTAGAATATAATTTTCAATCCACTAAAATCATCGAATGTTGTCCAAAGTTCCATGAAACCGCGAAATTTACAAGAACGTAGCTGAAATCAGTGTTCCATTCAGTTCATGTTGTGAATGTCATATCGCAAGGTCAGCCTTGTTGGCCCAGATTTATATAAACACATTCTTTATTAAAAAGTCTCGTGTTGACGTATATCTGATCTGAGTTGTAGAAAAGTATCAATAATTCGTTACTATATTATAAAACTCGTACAAATCTCCCTTTAATATTACAATAACAAGTACATTTGTTTTTCTTTCTACGTACTGGCAGCGAATGTTAATGACATGTTTTAATTATGCACAGCATCCAAATTCATTGTGCATTCATAACAGCACGAGTCGAGTCTATTATTTACACCGGAGAGCCAATTTTCGGCGAAAACACATCGCGTTCCTTCATCCATTGCTCGACTAAGTCACTATGTCTTCTAGGATGCGAGTCAGTTCGAGACAATTCACTGCCACTCAATGTCCTTGAACGTTCCTTTCCTCGCATTTTAACCGCTTGATTCTTTGCCTCGAATATATCACTCACGTTCACAAGTTTCTTCGTATATGCCACAACGTTTAGACTCAACGGAACGGATTGTGATCGTGATCGTCTATCACGAGTTAGTGGCTGATCGGCCAGATAAGTTGCTGTTGGTGCTGATTGACTCGTATGCATTGTAGGAAGGGAGCCAACGCTCAAATGTCTTGAAGTACTCCAAGGTACAGCTATCGCGTCTGAAGGCAATCTTGGCGTAGGAGGTTGGATCAATAACTCGGGTACATTAAAATGTAAATCATCCTGAGGGGCGGAGAGTTCGTCTACAAAAGGCACCCCGGAACGTGACATTCTAGACTTTTAAATTCTTTCCAAAGTACGCATTTTTTAGCCGAACTATTTCGCTTGAATTTTATACTTGTTGCTTTTAACGGCGACAATGTTCCTTTCGCGACAGAAATTAAGCAATATTGGTATCAGAATTTTAGAATTTACATTGTAAAGACAAGATTGGACCGTTTTTCCGCCGTCAATGCAATATAGGAAAACAAAAAGGGATGGGGAATCTTTAAGTCCTGTTGTTTGGACTTACCACCAGTCCGCCATCGAGAATTATTGATTTATTGTTCGAGAAAACACCTGTAAATAGTCGAATTCATATCAGCTCGAGACGGGAAACTCGTCTTGGACGGGTTAAAAATAGTGAAAATCCATCTGGATCAGTAAATTTCGGGGTTGGTTAAAAAATCTATTTTGCCTCAAAATCTGGATGACGCAGAGTGTGTGATTTTCCAATATCTCGATGTGACACCAAATTGTCCAGATCAGTCAGTACATGTGCTAAGAAATTGTCTCATTCCACTCGAGAACTGAAATTCCACTCAAGTCATTCCACTCGAGAACTGAAAAGGACCATCTCGTGCTAGCCGCTAGAACACTGTATGACTAGATTTCGGTTAAACCCAACGCTATCGTCAGGGGTAAGATCGGGTGGTTTCTCAAACGAAATCGAACGAACTACACATGCAAAAATCTCACATCTTGTCATATTGTAGCAAGTCTGCCAACAAACCGTCAACAAGTTGTGTTCGCACTGCTTGTCCCAAGTTGTCAACAAGTTTAGAACAAGCTGTTACATAACAGTTTGTAACAACCTTGTTGATATTATCAGACTTGTTGCAAGGTAGTTCCAACAAGTCCGATACTGACGATACTGTCATGATATAAGACCATATAACAATATTGTTACAACCTTGTGTCGTCAACCTTGTAACATTCTTGTTATATCACGACTGCATCAGACTTGTTAGAACAACCTTGTAACAAGTCTGATACAGTCATCAAGCTTGTTACAATATTAAGTTGTTAATAGCTTTTCCAAACTTGTTACAACAACTAGGAACAAGCTAGCGAACACAACTTGTCCGACAGCTTGTGAACAGATTTGAATTAATTTGTTTGCAGACCTGTAACAACTTGTGCGTTTTTACGTGTGTACGGGTAAGAGTTGCGGCGGCCCCCAGACCATATGCCTGGACCTTTTTCACCAGACCGCAAACCACTGCTCCGAACGTACCGACTGATGCTCCAAACCACGAGGGCTACGGGAATTTGTACCCTGTTTTTCCAACACCGGCGAACGGGAACCGGGGGAAATGAATTATGAAAGTTTGTTACCAGTTTCCTCGCGTAAGTTTTAGTATTTACAAATTTTGCAAATTTTGCATTGTGAGTAGTTGTCGGTTTCCTTAGTTATTCGACAACTTCTGAATGGAATTCAAGCTGAGTGTTGTACAACTACGTGGACTTTAAAGTAATGAATATTCTTTAAAAGTAACAACGAATTGTTGTCACTTTACAAACAAAAAACGGACAAGGAAATGTTAAATATTTAAAATCCACGTTGCTACTCTCGTCTCTGGAGGCTGCTCTGGTTGAACTTTTAATACTTTGTTACTGTGTAGAACAACAAAATATCTTCGCAAAAACTATTGGATTCTAATATATTTTAATATGTCTTGGAAACCGAACCCAAACGCGATGCCATTTCAGCCAACCAATGCTTATTACACGATAAAATTGCCGTGTTGTCAAAACGCTTGGAAGATTCGTAAAAAAGGTCTTATAGGCCGTTGTGTGCAGTGGACATTAGTTTTCATTTTGTTTATAACTGTCGTGGTCAATGTTCTTTTTATAATGGACACCACATCGAAATTTAGAAAGCAACAATTATCAAATCCCGAGGGAGAGGATAAGGGGTTTGAAGAGAGAAGGCATGTTATTATAGGTATGTAAATATGAGAAATAGTACCCTGAATGTAAATAATATTTTGGATGGTTTCCTGAATTCGACATATGCAATATTCATGTATTTGTCCTTTTGAAATTTGATCTGCAGTAAATAAAGGAAACTGTTATAAAAATGTTGATAGCAGATGCCATCTTGAGAAATACTGCCAGAGCATTTGGGTGTTTGGAGCAAAGGCTCTTTGTCAAGTGTATTCTCTTGTAAATTTTTATATGATAAAGGGTCTTTGCTCCTTCTTTCATGAACTCAGGGCCCAATTACTATTTCTCCCAGTATTAAACTGTGAAACGACCGTTTTTTTAGACGGTTGTCACTGTCAGTTTTGTCAATTACGGAGGACATATTTGTGTACCTCGTGATCACAATTTGTTGCAAGTGGCGTGTGAAAAACTGCAAGTTTCAGTCTGACAGTTAAATGAGTTTCTAATTTTATTGTCCAATCAGATGCGTAGTTTTGAATTTTCAAACTGAAACTTGCAGTTTTTTCACACGCAGCTTGCAACGAATTGTGATCAGGAGGTACACAAATATGTCCTTCGTAATTGACAAAACTGTCACTGACAAACCACCTTAAAAACGGCCGTTTCGCAGTTTACTGGGAACAATAGTAACACTTTAGTTTTCTCTTTGACAAGAAAAATTGTCTGGTGTGAGAGTACAATTATCTGGTGTCAGACAGAGTGCATAATAAGAAAGTAGGGTGCAATACGCCCTCAACAAAAGACACAGGCATGCAGTTGGGTTAATCAAATTGAGTGACAGCACTCTCCCCTTGACAAGTAAAATCATCTGGCATTAGACAGAGTAAAATAAAGTAGAGCTCACAAGGGCACATTGCAACTTAAAGGTTAACAGGATGCATTAGCAGATAGCCCATAGTGCTCTCCATTTGACAAATAAAATTGTCTGGTGTTAGACAGAGTAAAATAATAAAGTAGGGTGCATCAGGGTGCTTAAGTTTGTAATGTACACAAGAGACACCCTGTAATGTACATGACAGACCATTGTGGCTGGGGAATGGGTTAATAATTCTTTATATTAATTTCATAACAATTGTAGATGCAAAAGATAAAGGAAAATCTATAGATATTGAAGTACATTCTAGTAAAGATAGTGTGTTTGTCTCTGTCGATGGCACTAAGGTATGTAAAGGCGCATTTCCACTCAGGAAAATTTTCCGCAGAAAGGGAATTTTCTGAAAATATCATTGATAAAACTTGAAAATATTCAACTTTGTGTCGGCCATTTTACAAAATTTTCTTTCTGTGGATAATTTTCCTGAGTGGGCGTTAAGACCTCAGCACACTAATGAAACTCATATATTTATAGTGGATTGCAGGGCTTGAAATAATGGCCGATTCTCGATCAATGATCGGCAAGAGATTGTTCATGATCGGTGGAAAAACGCTCCTAAGGGTTTTCAATCAGAAAAAGCAGGAATGTCATGACTGCCGATCACCATGATCGGGAACTTTGGGAACCTTAATTCAAGGCCTAGCTTGGACTGATCTCTGTCAGCTTTTATTGTATATCTGCAGATTGATAGCCAATTTAAAACATACTGTTATATAAAATATACTGTTATATAATTTCTGTCATTATAAGGTGATGGAAGAAACGACGACTAGTGAATCAGCTCGAGGAATACATGTCACTGTTCTTCATCAAGCTACTGGTGCTATTATGGCCACCAGAACATTTGATACATATATGTCCAAAGATGAGAGTGCTGGCCTAGTTTTATTTCTCAATATGGTTTCTGAAGGACGTATATTGTGCTTTGCTGTCAAGGTAAATGGTCTCATTTCAGTTCGCTAGATAGTCAGTTATTCAGTAGGGATGTGCCGGATATTGTTTTGCTGGATACTGGATATTACCAGATTGTAGTCTAATGGATACCAGTCAGGGAAAAATCATTACCAGATATCAGATAATGACCAGCAGGGCGCGAAATAACGACCGGGCAACGGACAATGTCCAGCCAGAATGCGAAGTTGTCTGGTCAAATTCTTACCTTGCCGGTCACTTTTGGTAAAAGAACAAACGAATCTTCATTTGAATTAATAGTCGAAGTAAAGTTGTCAAGTATTATAATTAAGAACCATAACATGTTGTTGAATATTTTGCGGGAAAAGAACTTCAATGTACTGCAGCTTTCCCACGCAGTGCGTCACAAAGCCCATGGGCATGCTTTTGGCTTTAGAGTTAAGGCCATGGTTTTAGTGCAGTGGAAGTTGTTTTATGCGAAGGTGTTTTTAAATTACTGATTACAGTATAGGCTTTTTGTAATACTATATTGGGAAAATAATCACATTTTTAGGGGTATACTTTAGTAGGCTTTGCTTTAAGCTGAATAAATATTTGACCGGCCAGAAGTTTGGAATGTCCGAGCTAAAATTGAGTTGGCTGGTAACCTTGACCAGCGACCCTCCAGCCATTATTTGGTGCCCTGCTGGTATACTGATGGTGGTACTCAGCTTTGTAATTTGTTGCGTAGGATGAAGCATCGTTCAACTTAAAGAAACCAGTGCAAAACTTGATTCGAAGTTTAGGCAGCGTTCATATAGACAGCCTAAAATGGCGGGACAGTTGGGCCTTCATCGTTACTAAACGAGGAAAGAAGTATGCTGAAGAATACCACCATGCAAGCGATGTAGCGCACTGGGGAGACCCGGTCACTGCACGAGCGACGGTAGACCTTGCCCCGGCTGAACAGTCGCAATGTCATTGGGATGAGAGTGAGGTGTCCAAAAGAAGACGGACATTTTGCGACAGATTTGAAGGATATGGTAGTGTTTGTAGCTGTAAGTTCTGAATAATATATTTAGTACTATGTAGCTGTGATATGTAATAGTTCAAATATGACTAAGTGTTCTTCCTCTGATTTCTAACTTCCCTTCTGAGTTTTTTTAACCAGCTTGTCTGTATTTAGAAAACAAGGGGAAGAATACTTACGAGTGTTTGAACTTACTTCTCAAACGAACCCATATTTTAAGAGGAAATCGAGATTAAAGTTGGCGAAATGGACCATTTGCATTATAGACTAAATTTTGATCTAGACAAAAATTTCATCACAGCTTGAAAGAGCATCACAAAATTAGTAATATTCCAATGATTCGTTGCGAAATGTTGTAAAATGCGGATAATATAGCCTTGCGAAATTTGCAATTTTCAGTCTTTTTAGATTACAAACGGGAAATTGATGCCCCAACACCCGATTGGGCTGTCAATTTCCCGTGCGTAATACAAAATGACTGAAAAACGGCAAACTTCACATGGCTATATTATCCGCATTTTACAACATTTCACAACGAAACTTTGGAATATTACTAATTTTGTGATGCTCTTTCAAGCTGTGATGAAATTTTTGTCTAGATCAAAGTTTAGTCTATAATGCAAATGGTCCATTCGGCTCGAGTCTTTCTTCTATTTCTAAATACTGATTAAATACTTATTTCTTTTGAATTTTCTTCATTAATGAGTTTTAGAATGATATTTCATAACATACAATTATAATAGCGCTGCATTCGTGATGTCATACAGTACAACACATGTAAAAATCTCACAACTTGTCAACAAGATGTGTTTGTACTGCTTGTTCGCAGTTGTTGACAAGTCTGGAACAAGTTGTTATCATCTTGTAACAAGGTTGATGAGGCCAACAGACTCGCAACAAATTGTTCTAACAAGTCTGATATTGTCTGCACATAACAGATTGTTAGCAACTTCATGCCAACACACTTGTAAACAACTTGTTACAAACATCCTGTAGACCTGTATTAGTCTCGTTGGAACATCTTGTAGCAAGTCTGTTACTATCATCAAGACATCAACCTTGTAACAAGGTAACAACTTGTTACAGGCTTGTCACAACAACTGAGGAACAATGCAAACATCCTGATATCATGAAATCTGCTGTGTTGGTGTAATGTACTCAGGTGAATAAGATGTTTGTGTGATGTTACTCTGAGTGTATATCCACACCGGGCAGGCTTGAAAAGAGTAACATCACACAAACATCTTATTCACCTGAGTACATTACACCAACACAGCAGATTTCATGATTATTAGATTACACTGATATCGAAGGAACTAGACTCAGTTCCGAAATATCGCATACTCGAACCGTCCTGACCGCGTAGCTCAGTTGGAAGAGCATTGGGCTAGTATTCCAAAGGTCGTAGGTTCGAATCCCGCCGTGGCCAGGCATATTTTTCAAGCCTGCCCGGTGTGGATATACACTCAGAGTAACATCACACAAACATAATGATATCAGTTTGACAACAACCTTGTTGCAACTTGTTTGCAGATTTTGTTGCAACTTGCGCATTTTTTACATGTATGTAGGTTCAAATCCGGCACCCATCAACATCAAAAGCCCAGAACTGGACAAAAATACAGTCTCACAAATACCCGTGGCGATCATAGCCAGCAACCGACCACATTATCTCTACCGAAGTATTCGTTCCATGCTCTCTGCTCACGGGGCCAAGAAAGAACTGTTTACAGTGTACATAGACGGTTTCTTTGAAGAACCAGCTGCAGTAGCAAAACTGTTCGACCTCAAGGTTGTGCAGCATGTTCCTATCAGCAGTAAAAATGCGAGAATTTCACAGGTTTGTATGATCGCAAATATTTTTTGATAGAAATTCTAAAACCTAAAATTTAACCCATTATTAGCGATTTTAAAGGACAGTGGCAATATAAAATTAGTTTGTCTTATTCAAAAGAACTCTAAAAATTATATATTAAACTATATTACCGATTTGTCGTATCTTGCATGCTTAGTTCTCGAAATATTTAGACCGAAATTAATGAGCTGTGCGCCATCTTGGACGAGGTTTTGATGACGTCAGGAGTTGGGTTAGCCAAACCAAAATTGTTTGAAATGTTTTTAGTCATTCCTAAATTTCAGACAGCAACCAGAAACGAAGTTTTGGACCCATATTGATCGCTTACTCTCAAGATAAAAAATTAGCGTGACCCCTCTCTTGACGTAACATGCATATCCTCAATAATCCGAGATGGCGAACAGCTCACTTTTTCAAGTCGAAATATTTTGAAAACTAAGCAAAATATAAACAATCTGTAATAGAGTCTAATATATAGTTTTAAGAGTTCTTTCAAATGAACTAAACTAATTTTTTATTGCCAATGTCCTTTAAATAACCAATTTAAAGCGCAAGACTATATTCCTTTGATGAATACAATCTGTCTGGCAATAGACAGGGGAAAATAACAAAGTAGGGTGCATTTGGGCAGTTTCATATTATTCTGACACTAAAGAGTACAACGAGTGTCGAGCAGGATTCAAACTCTTATCTTTGGGTTCCTAGACCGCCGCTCTACCCATTGATTTACCAAGTCAACAGGGATTGGTAGCAAGTCTTATCCAATTTAAATTTCCAAAATATTTTCCAAATTTTTTTCCAAATAATCTGTACTTGTTGATCATTTCCATCTAGCATTATAAACGTACATTAACGGAGACATTCAACGCACACCCCAACGCTCAATATATGATCATCCTGGAAGAAGATTTGGACGTCTCTGTGGATATATTTAGCTACTTTAGTCAACTATTACCGTTGATGGATCAAGATGAGAGTTTATATTGTGTCTCAGCTTGGAATGATCAGGTAGAGTAATTAATATATACGTGAGTTAATTGGGTTGATAATGGGTATATAGACACTGATGACTGTGGACATACACTACCAATTATATTGCCGTATTTTTAGGGCTATGATCATACGTGTAACGATCCTTCAATGTTGTACAGAATTGAAACGATGCCTGGCTTGGGATGGTGAGTGTGCAAATTTTGCCATTATCCTGAACATGTAAGCCAAGACTTACAAGTTTTGTCTGATTATAGTTTCACCCTGGATGTATGTGAGAAGAATGCTTCCAGCAGGCCTCGAATTTCCCTGAAATCAATCGACGGCAATGGTGCTAAAAATTGCCGTAGAATGTAACAGCTGTCTACGGCAATTTTGGCAGTTTCCACGGCATTTTTCAAATTACTGTAAAAAACTTTAATTTTAATGTTACTTTGGTTTTTGACAAGCTAGAAACATGTCTACGTATTTCTTCAGTGTTTTTTTTTTGAAAAGAAAACTGAGACTAAAACGCATTATTTGATCAAAATCTGAATTCAAGTATCAAAAATTCAAAATAGTAATGCACAGTGAATAGTATAAAAATTGCACTATGCGGCAAAAAATTGCCGTCGTTGCTGCAATGATCCGCGGCATTTTGTTCTCCCTCTACGGCAATTGCCGCGATAAAATTCGAGCCCTGGCTTCCAGTCTTGACTACACATAATCCCTCCTGTAGTAACACAGGGCCAAAAGGGGATCTCTATATCTCTAGAACTGGTAGAGCTATGTAGTATGAATAAAAGTATAGGTTTCCTTCTGTAGTAACACTGGATCAATTCTTGGTGACCCTTTAAGGGGCAACAGTGGCGTACTTGTCAGAGCGACCATTTTTTACCTCTGTGAGTCGCTCAACGCACCACCGTGTGTTCTTTTTAGGTACTGTGGTTTCTCCCCACAAGGAATGTTGACAGGGTGGGTTGGAATTAGCCCCGAGTTGACCCTTCCATCCTAGTAGCTGTATTCCTAGCCCGTGTTCCAGTCCACTACAACACAACGGTTTAGTGGGCTGGAACACAGGCTACTGTATTTCATGATCAGGCGTGAGTCATAAGATGCAGGGCCGCAGTATAAAGTAGCGATAATCTTTAAATTTTTAGAGGGAAATAATGACCTAATAATTGCTCCTGACTAATCAGCCCTCCCCCAATGCAAAATTGCTTTCTACGGTAGTAAGATGGCTGCCAGTCAGGCGCCCTTAGAAAGCCTTCGACGTCATCCGGTTGGGCAAAAAAAAAATATGTGGGTTTCCGGTTTCTTCTCATAAAAACTTAGGTAGGGTAGGTCGGTTTTAACTTTTTTTTAAACTTTTTTTTAAAATTTTCCGAACGGATTTTACTACATCCCGGGCGTTCTTTGTCAGTGCCCGCGATCACAATTAGTATTATCAGCGGTATATGATGATAACATCGAGTGTTTCCTGAAATCACAATGTTTGAAAGAAAACATCTTAAAAGCCAAATATAAATTATATAATACTCGATGTGAATTTATAACTTGATTAAACTGTAACAGTTTGTCAGCATGTTAATCTATATTTCAAGATATCAGTTTGCTTCTAGTCAGTTTATTTGATCCAGACATATTGCCTTTTAATTTTTTGACAAAACTCTTTATGTTTTAGCACTAATTTCACAGATCTTATATGAGCTAGTAACATTTATAGCAGCTCAAATAAAAAATAACCAAGTGACTGGACAGACGGGAGTTATTTCATATTTTGTAGCAATATAAAAACTTTTGTTTGCGGTAATCTTCACCAAGTTTGTCGTTAGCTCAAGCGGTCAAGGCGCTGCGTACCGAAAGTGAAACGCAGTCGGGGTCGGGATCGATGCCGAACATTTATTATCTGATTTAGCTCTTTTTCTCAATTTTTTGTAATTTTTTTCTTCCTTCCTTTTTTAACTCTTAAAAGTTAGGCCGGTTAGGTTAGTGTTTGGGATCGGTATAAAATCTAAAGTGCTTTAAAAAAGTTTTAATCTTTTTTTATCTGGTTGAAAATGTTTGAATATTGAGTTGCGAACTCAACCGCTGGTAATTCTAATTGTGATCGCGGGCACTGACAAAGAACGCCCGGGATGTAGTAAAATCCTTTCCGAACAAGCAGACGCCATTTTGTTTAGTCAGTGCTTCCACATCGAAAGATAAATTTCCCTAATATTGCCTCAAATTTCAATTTTCCACAAACTTTCCTCTAAGTGGAAACACTTACAAGCATGATCCAATAAAAAAGTTTAGGGTCGGGATTTCGACGTCCAAAAGCTAGGTAGGGTCGGGAAACCGGAAACCCACATATTTTTTTTTTGCCTTGAGAAACATCCTTTGCAATTCAGCTTAGCTCTCAGCTGCAAGTAAGGATAATTAGCACACGCCCACATACTTACAGCCCCCAGAACAGTTTGTTCACACAAAAGTTCACCAGTTTAGAACTGATAAAGCGCGTATATTTTCTTGAAGGTTACTAAAACGTCGTCTGTACAAGGAAGAACTCGAACCGAAATGGCCGACTCCGGATCTCTTCTGGGACTGGGATATGTGGATGAGAATGGACAGTAATAAGAAAGGTCGCGAATGCATTATCCCCGATATTTCCAGGACTTATCATTTTGGTGCCAAGGGTCTCAACATGAACGCGTTTTTCCAAGAATCTTATTTCAAGAAGCACACATTGAATACGGAGCCGAACGTAAAGTTTAATGTCGAACAGATGAAAAAAGAAAATTATGAACAAGAAATTGAACGATTGATGGGGTGAGTATAAGAGAGGCATGGTCATCAGAGATATTAGGAAAATACTTGAGCGTAACATAGAAAATTACTTAAAATATGATTCCAGCTATATAGACTAAATTTTGATCTCGGCAAGAAGAACAAAATCCATCAGCACAGCTAGAATGTTAAAATTAGTAAAATTGCAAAGTTTGGTTGCGAAATGTTGTAAAATGCGGAAAATATAGCCCTACGAAATTTGCAAATTTTGTATTAATTTGTATTACGCACGGGAATTTGCACCACTTTCGGCCCAAATGTGGTGCATTTTCCCGCGCGTAATACAAACGAATTCAAAATTTGAAAATTTCGCAGGGCTATATTTTCCGCATTTACAACATTTCGCGGCAAAACTTTGCAATTTTACTAATTTTAACATGCTCTTTCTAGCTGTGGTGATCGATTTTGTTCTTCTTGCCTAGATCAAAATTTAGCGTATAGATGGAATCATCTATTTCCCCAATATTTCTTATTCTAGCATCGCAGAACAATTAGACCACAGTAAAGACCCTTGCAAAAATGAAAAAGACTTCATTCCAGATACGACGGGTAAGACGTACGTTTTCTACATCGAAATGAAACACCCCAGTGATTGGACCACGTGGAATAATATAGCACGCTGCTTGCATATATGGGATTTAGATGTACGAGGGTTTCATAAAAGCATGTGGCGATTATGGCTCAAAGGCAATCACGTCCTCATCGTCGGCTCACCTGCCTCGCCTTACGCTAAACATAAACCTGAGAATGTTAAACCTATTTTTATTCCTAAAAAGTCGGAACATTAACGCAACATCTATCGTCGTGTGAAGTTGCCATGCAGGGCAAACAAATGAACCAACAACTGAACAAGGCAAAAAAATACCTGGGTTTCTGTTTCTTAATTGTTGCAATTTTCTAGAGGTACGGTTCCTTTTGTTAACAATTTTTATAAATGCTCTCGTGCATAAGAATGAAATTCTATGTGAATTATGGCAGAACAGATATGGCATAAACATTCGTTAAATATTTATATTGTATCAACTTTGAAACAAACAGGTTGTACTTTATATAGGTAGTACAAAACTGGGTAGGTCACAACTGCAATCGTGGAATAATTTCTTTGGGACAAAGTTAGCGTTCATATAAAAAACCCCGCCTACCTCGTCATCGTTCCGCAGTACACAACATTGAGTGGGGGAGGGGGGGGGGTGTGGGCCTTAAAACTGCCGTTAGCGAAACGACATCGCAAACTGTTTGATGCATTATTGTCCCAATGAATTGGTCTATGATTGTCGGTACGAGCTCTTTCCAAACTTCAGATAAACAGCAAACCCAGGTGTTTTTTTCGCCGTGAGATTTCCGATAAAAATGGGCGTAGCTCTAGGGATGTCACCATGTCTTAGAACCCCAGCTTAAGATGACGTTCGTATTGATGAATGAGTCATTTAGATAGAATATATAATATTATTAACGGAATAGTTGCAGTACCCAGATTGGCTATGTTCAATATCGTCAGTACCTCTGGTTAGAAGTTAGGTATCGAAGACTAAATTCCTTAGAACATTAAACAAATTATAGAAACAATAAAAAAGGTAGGCCTCTGCTTCTGGATAGATTTTTACTCTTGAAAAAGGAAAGCCCAATTTGCCCAATCGCGTCCTGTCCCTACACATCCAAAGTATAGAAAACCCAGAACGTTACCATTTTTCATGTGGGGGACTGAGCCTGGCCGGGAAACCTGCGCTCTGCAGTTCCCTCTATCTGTATTGGACCAAATTAGTGAAACACAAAAATAGCAAACAACTCTCTACATACGTTGTGAATAGATTTAATTACATTTATATTATACTATATTAATAATACTATAATGATTACGATCATTGAACATGCATATATTTTAAATTGTTTGAATTTTGCGAAATCTAACACGCGCGAAGTTTGGATTAATTCCGTTTGATAAACTTGAGTTATAAACGCGAGTCTATTAATTAAACATCCTAGTAATTAAGCGCAATTTGAATCATAAAAACTAATTATTATGTGGTATTTAAAGAGGAAGCCTAATCAGTAATCTGTCAACTGGGGTCCTGTAATATGGTGAAGGTTTAATATGATAAAATATTAAAAATATACAATACGTGGATATACTTGTTAAGAGGCAATTTTTTTCAATGTCACATATTTGCAATGAAAAGTGTTCAAAACCTAAAATCTTTTTAGCGTTCCTCTCAAAATTACTTTGTTTTAGCTTTATTCTCCAGTTTATAGAATTAGTAACCTTTTTAAATGCATCTGCCGGTTGGGAAACATAAAATAATAGTCAAAAATTGTCAATTACAATACAATTGTTAATGATGCTTTGAAATTGACGCCAATGATATTTACAGCCATATAAGCAAAACTTACTGAACTTCAGACATCATTTTCTCTTTGGCGCACCATCTAAAGTCTCTTCATTTTAGCATTATTTTACAGATAAAGCACTAAACATACTTTTAAGTTAGTTTGCCGTTTGAGAAACGTATCGAAAAATAAAAATTTTGAATTTAGTCATAACCTTAAGTGATATATTGTACGCGCATTAGTTTTGAGCGCATGTTACGTGACATACAAAAAAATCTCCTCTTAATATGATAAAATATTAAAAATATATACAATACGTGGATATACTTGTTAAATTAAACATTAAAAAAATGTGACTATACATGAAAATGCAGTTAAATCCCGTCCATGTTTTAACTATTCTTTCATGTGAATATGCGCCAACAATAGCTGTGTGACCACAGCAATAAATGGACCAAACGCTGCCAGAATAAAAGCTTGAAACGCTGGAACAGTGTGTCCAAAAATCTTCAAACCATGCGCAGTTTTTACGTACTTACACATGCGCCGGATAACCTCTACGTCATCAAAAAGGAGCTTTTTGTTCTTTTGCTCTTCCACATCGCAATCTTCAATCACCTCGTACACCCGTCGTAAACGATTTTCAAGCCGAACCATTAAGCTTATTGGTAGAAAATAAAGTAACAATGATTCCAGTGTCTTCACTAGCGAGCAAATCGCGACAATTTTCACATTCTGTTTCACCCATTTGGTTTGTATATCGTCACTGTTCGTGTTTTCCCCGGTGTTGTTCGTGCCATTTCCTGCATCTTTGCCATGAGTTTGGGTGAACGATGTTGTTTTGTTTGCTGTCAACATACCTGCAGACTGTGTTGACGGTGCATCGATCGTGTAGTCAGTGTCGAATGAGAGTTTTCCATTAAAGTTTATATATCTCGCGTAGTGTGGTACCTGAAAAGGAACAGTAGGTTGTGTTCACTGAGCTCCATAGAGCGTTTGCATCTGACGTCACAAGCGCCATATTGGTTGGTGCTCCAGAACAAACGAATTTTGATTAGTATAGGGTCGTGGGGGTGGACTGGGGGTAGGTTTTCAAGATGGCCGCCAGTTTTTAAGATCATTAAAACGTTAAATTAAGAATCAACGACCAGCCACTTGCAACAATACTGAACCTTATCCTCACCCCACACCTATAACCCTAATCCTAACCCCCCACACTAACCCTAATACAGATTTGATGAAATACTACCCTGCGTGGCAGGCCCTCAGTTTTATGAGGGGCCCGCTGCAAATCAAACCTCCCGTAAAACTGAGGGCCTGCCACGCAGCTAATGAAATGCTAACGCAAACTCTTGTTTCAATTTTGGAACCATCTCACTCTCCTCCGCAGAGTCTGAATTATATAGGATTTGTAGGGATAATGTAGGGATAGTAGAGGACATTTAGTGGCGCGCGACGGGGGGATGAGAAGAGGGTGTGGTGATGGAAATCTGATAAAGTATTGTTGAATGGCCCCTTATGCCCAGCCTACCTGGAATAATTGCACGGTATAATTCTCACTCCCCTTAGCAATTCTGACTTCCATTTGTTCAAAACAAGCGCAAACCCCGAGGAAAAACGTGCATATCAGCAACATGAAATGAACCATGAGATAAGATTCAAGCGAAAGTCCAGCAGTACGAATTGCAGCTTTTATTTTTCGGAACCGTTTTCTCGCTGAATTCTCACCGCAATTTTTGCTTTCGTTTGCGATCGTTGAATGCTCACCTTCGAGTGCTTCGTTTGTGGCTTTGTCTTTGCTTTTCTTTTCGCTTCCGTTGGTGTCTTTGTCTCTGCTCGTCTGGTGTTCACTCGAGCCGTTACCTGAGCGGGCTTTACTAGTTGTGGCTTCGCTTTCACCTTTGTCTTTGTTTTCGTCGTCCTTTCTCCACTTTTCAATATCGTCACGGTATTCTTCGACCATGCAACACAATACGTACATCGTCACACAACACAAAAAGAATAGAGGAAATGCGAGGATACGATCAACGAGGCTCCACAAAACATCTATAGAGATCGCCAATGCGTTCAGTCGAGATACTTTGAAATCTATTTCGATTAAGCCCTGAAGTACAGTTGCCAGCCACATACAGATTAGCGCAAAACCTAAAGTCCGTGAAAAGAACCTAACTTTTTTCCAGATGGGTCGTTTTTTAAGCCATTTAAAGCATGCACTTGTAGTCGTGTTTTATCAGATATAACGCGTGCTTTAAATAGTACATAAAGCAAAATGTACGTACGAGGTTAAGGACACACTTATTTTCTTGTTGTGCAGTAAAATGCAGTGATACAAAACTACAAAAGGTATGCTTGCACTATTGAACACGTTGAACTCGTCCGGCGAGACGCGTATGAAGACAAGGTAAAATATCATGGGCTTGCCCAGGGACGCCGGAACTGGGGGGGCAGGGGGGGCGGCTGCCCCCCTTGCCTTTTGCTAGGGGGGGGGCAGAAGTGCCCTTTTAGTTGTAAAATAATACGTGATAAATCACATTTCCAACGATGCTTTTTTGTAGGAAAATCACGAGATTCAGGTAATTTATAGTTAATATTTATAAAAATTATAAAAATTTTGGGAAATTTTTGGAATTTGGAAAAATATTTTGAAGAAATGGCGAAAATTTAAGATATCCGGAAAAATTTTTGGCTCCACGGAAAATTTTTGTATGTCCGGAAAAATTTTTTGACCCCTAAAATGGTACACTGACCGAAATTTTTTTGGCGACGGGAGGGGGGAGGTCGCCAAAAAATTTTGCAGTGAAAAAAAATTTTTCAGTAAAGGTTCCCTTGGTGTGCGTCCGCCCCCCTTTGCCCTATTATCGTTCCGGCGTCCCTGGGCTTGCCATTCGCTCCCATCAAATATCATCCATCTTGTTTGCACTAGCGCATATATTTTAATAGCAACTCAAAGCTTCTGCGAAGGATAGAGATCTGGGGCCGTTTGGACGAAGGCCGAATAGCTAGGCCAGGGCGCTTATATATAATTTTATATTAGGATGTAGGGTTTGTAATCCAAGTGAGAATATATACATTTTAAGACCTAACCAGGAACGACTGCGAAAAATGCAGCACAAGGTCCTCTGGTAGGAATTGAACCCACAGCCCTGCGATTCCGGTGCAGCGCTCTAACCAACTGAGCTACAGAGGCCAGCTGTTGAGCTGTAACCGTAAGTTCATGTATATATAGGTAATCCTAATGTTAATTCTACCAAGTGAAGTGCAAGAATCTAAGTCATTCGAGTCCACTATATAATTTATACAACTTTATACTTGCTCTTGAAAAAGGAAACCACTTTGCCCAATCTCGTCTTGTCCCTACACATCCAAAGTAGAAAATCCAGAACGTTGCCGTTTTTCTTGTGGGGAAAGCTAAAGCTGGAGTAATACGAGCAACAAAATTGCTGCAACTTGCAACAAAATCTGATTTCAACGCATGTTAAGTAGGAATGTCGACACATGTTGCCTCGTGATTTGTAATGTATGTGTAAACATTTTCTACATACGTTGTGAATAGATTTAATTACATTTATATTATACTATATTAATACTATAATGATTACAATCATTGAACATGCATATAGTTTTAAATTGTTTGAATTTTGCTAAATCTAATACACGCGAAGTTTGGATTAATTCCGTTTGATAAACTTGAGTAAAAACACGGATAAATACATCTAAGTAATTAAGTGCAATTCAAATGATAGAAACTAATTAGCCAATCGAGCAGAGGACTGGGTCTAGTCGCTTGTTTAGATCACATTGATCACAACAAATTAACAAATAAACAATGCGCCTAATATGGCATCTAGAAAGTTTTCCTACATTCCTAAAGTTATTTGTGCAGCCTGAAACGCAACAATTATAATAAGGTATCTTTTAATATATATTTAGCTCTCTCACTATAACTTGTTGTCGCCACTGATCTGTACGTCCCCATTCTCGTACCCAGAGCCCTTAATTCCTACGCGCGTTCGACCGAGCGCGACGAGGGGCTCTGGTCAAATCCCATTCTCGTACCCAGAGCCCTTCTTACGCGCGGTGCGACGAGGGGCTCTGGCTAAATCCATATTCCGAACTGGCATCTGATTGGCTAGTTCTAACACCGGACATTGTTTTCTTACCATGTTTTTATGGTATTCGGTTATGGATTTGGCCAGAACCCCTCGTCGCACCGCGCTTAAGAAGGGCTCTGGGTACGAGAATGGTCAAATCCATAACCGGATACCATAAAAACATGCTAAGAAAACAATATCCGGTATTAGAACTAGCCAATCAGATGCCAATTCGGATATGGATTTGGCCAGAGCCCCTCGTCGCGCTCGGTCGAACGCGCGTAAGAAGGGCTCTGGGTACGAGAATGTAACGTCCCTCAACGTCCCAACATCAACTAGACCCAGTCCTCTGCTCGATTGGGAAATGGCTAATTATTATTATTATTATGTAATATTTAAACAGGAAGCCTAATCAGTAATCTTCACTGTTGTCAACTAGGATCCTGTAATATGGTAAAGGTTTAATATGCTTGTTAATTAAATTAAATATTAAAAAAGTAATTATGCATGCATTCAGTTAAATCCCGTCCATGTTTTAACTATTCTTTCATGTGAATATGCGCCAACAATCGCTGTGTGATCACAGCAATAAATGGACCAAACGCTGCCAGAATAAAAGTTTGAAACGCTGGAACAGTGTGTCCAAAAATCTTCAAACCATTTGCAGTTTTTACGTACTTACACATACGCCGGATAACTTCCACGTTATCAAAAAGGAGCTCTTTCTTCTTTTGCTCTTCCACATTGCAATCTTCAATCACCTCGTACACCCGTCGTAAACGATTTTGAAGCCGAACCATTAAGCTTATTGGTAGAAAATAAAGTAACAATGATTCCAGTGTCTTCACTAGCGAGCAAATCGCGACAATTTTCACATTCTGTTTCACCCATTTGGTTTGTATGTCGTCACTGTTCTGGTTTTTCCCGGTGTTGTTCGTGCCATTTCCTGCGTCTTTGCCATGAGTTTGGGTGAACGATATTGTTTTACTTGCTGTCAGCATACTTGCGGAACGTGTTGACGGTGCACCGATCGTGTAGTCAGTGTCGAATGAGAGGTTTCCATAAATGTTTATAAGTCTCGCATAGTGTGGCACCTGGAAAGGAATAAATACTTTGTGTTTCACATAGACATTCAAATAAAATGAATTCTTTATAAAATTTATGGGGGGCAGGGGAGGGGGGGGGGGGATTCGCGCAAATAAAAACAAAAGAAAAAAACATTCGTGAAAAGAGGGAAAACAAAGCCCAAGGAAAATACCTTTCAAATTCCTCAAAAAAATCCATTACAAGGAGATGGCCGGGAAAAATCGTGCAAGTTGAAAATTCCTCCTCCCCCCCTCCAAAATCACTTTTCTAAGTAGCATGGGGAAGTATCATAGGTGACAGTTTACATGATTAATGTAGGGGGGGGTGGGTTGATGACAAGGGTGGGCTAAAAAGAATAAAAAACTGATGAAGTGTTGTCGAATTGTGAGAGCAGAGGGCTAGCCAAACGTTCAACCTACCTGGAATAATTGCACGGTATAATTCTCACTTCCCTTTGCAATTCTGACTTCCATTTGTTCAAAACAAGCGCAAACCCCAAGGAAAAACGTGCATAGGAGCAACATGAAATGAACCATGAGATAAGATTCAAACGAAAGTCCTGCAATACGAATTGCAGCTTTTATTTTACGGAACCGCTCTCTCGCTGAATTCTCACCACAATTTTTGCTTTCGTCGTTCCCTCTCGTCTTCTCATCTTCGATTGAATTCTCCTCTGGGCTTGTGCCTTCGTCTCCACTTGTCGACTGGCCGTCACCTGAGGCTTTACTAGTTGTGGCTTCGTTTCTGATTTTGTCTTTGCTTGTCTCTTTGTCTGGGCTTGTGCATTCGTCTCCATTTGTCTGAGGCTTTACTTCGTCCTTTCTCCACTTTTCAATATCGTCACGGTATTCTTCGACCATGCAACACAATACATACATCGTCACACAACACAAAAAGAATAGAGGAAATGCGAGGATGCGATCGACGAAGTTGAACATAACATCTAAAGCGATCGGTAGTGCGTTTTGTCGAGATACTTTGAAATCTATTTCGATTAAGTTCTGAAGTACATTTGCTAGCCACATACCGATTAGGCAAAAAACTAAAGTCCGTGAAAAGAACTTAACTTTTTTCCATCGATCTTCCCCGAGATCTATATCTTTCATATGTTTCCCAAATGTTTCCAACCAATTGCGTCTAGTCAGCAAAATGCCCAGCCAACAGGTTATCAACCAACGGAATTCCCACATACAATTATCGGCTGTTGCTACTGGGTAGTTAAAGAAACGGTAGCTAAGAATATATGGCAGTTTATTGGAACCGAAAATACCCAAAGTATACACAAAGTACAGTGCAACAAAACAAGCTATCACGACTTGCAGTACTCTGTACAGGATTCGTTTCGCTTTACTCCCGGGAAAGACCAACACTGGCCAGTCACCGGGAAATACCTCGTCGCCCTCAAAAGACCAGTACTGGCCAGTCAACGCGAAATACCTCTTTATAGGCCTCAAGACTTCGTCTTTCATATTGCGTCCATTTCCTTGTTCGTTGTCTGTCATTCTGGAGTACCTTCCTCCCATCGTTTTGCTTCTAGTGATGTCCTTTCCTGTTCGCTGTGATGTTTTTGTGTTCTTTATATGTGCCTGATATTTCCGGTCTCAATTCTAAGAGCTGTAGTCACGCGCTCTGTTAAAATCGTTTCAGGTTACAGATTGGAAATTTATTCAAACATACTTATGAATCATAGTTATGTATAAATTGACTTCATTTTTGATTCTATCATCTTTTATAGGTGGTTGTTATTCTCATTAGACATTACTACTTCAATAAGCATAGGGTTTAAACGTTCTGGTAATGTGTTAAGGCATACTTATTTTCTTGTTGTGCCGTAGTAAATATATAATAAGGCATGCAGAATGCATGATTGAACGCGTCGAGACGCGCATGTAAAGAAGATTAATATTAGACTTGGTCACCTGAGCATCACTGACGATTTAATATACAGTCTACAGAATACAATATCATGGGCCTGTCATTTACTGCCATCTGCATTTTCGTCACCTGGGGCTGTTTGATATATATATATACTCACTTGGATTACAAACCCTAAGAACAGCATTCAAATATGTTTGAACGAAGGCCAATCGAATAGGAGAGTGATTTTTTCAACCGTGATAAAAATTGAACAGCATAAAAAGAGACTTCAATTTATACATGCTAAAGTTTAATTCTAGGTTGCATACCAATCAAGGGACAATTTCAGAAAACTTGTAAAAATCGCTATCTGCTGGGTAGCGCCATCTGGAGTTCGAATTCTAACAATCGACCATCATGCAAAATCGACCCCTGACCAGCTGACCTGTACTCTATTCTGATTCTGACTCGCATCGCATTTTACTTCAGTATAGACATGGTCATGCACTATTAAATTATTAACTCGTGTTTCAGTCGCCAGAATCTTTCGGGCTTAGTTATCAGACGGTAGTGGAAAGTTCTTTTCTTAGACATGCACTGGCCAAGAATTGAAGAATTGTTTCTTAGAAGTGGATTAATTAATAGATAAGGTTCACTTCTTAGTAATGGACAAATGTTTTGTTGACAAGGTTGTGTTCCCAGAAGAAGTGAACACCGTACAGGAATCTCGACTCTTGAAGTGATATTCTGCTCATTAAAGTACTTGGAAAAGCGTACCGTGCTGTTTAAATAATTTTTGTTCGCCTCATCACAAAACTGCCTGTATACAGTATGCAGAGAATGCATTCCTAGGAACGAGGTCGATTACAGGTACCATACATAAAGGTACCATACAAGTTAATTGTGTAAACAGTTCTCTGGTTAAAAAGATTTATTTATTACAAGCTCTCGACTGCCAGTCTGCAGTCTTCGACTGGTAGATTAATAATGTGTTAGTGATATAAGATATGATACAAAATGAATAGTTCTGTCAGTAATTGTCTTTTGTGTCAGTAAATATGTATAAATTGTAAACCGCTTTTGTATAGCACTATTAATTTTGTATCATATCTTATATCACTAGCACATTATTAATCTAACCGTCGAAGACTGCAGACTGGCAGTCGAAAGCTTGTAATAAATAAATCTTTTTAACCAGAGAACGTTTACACAATTATTATGAATCCTGGTTTGGCTTCCAACATTTTTAAATGTACCATACAAGGTTACATTACCGTGCAGATACTGTAGGTATGGTACCAATCTTACGAACTTGGCTGAACGGTTTTCAGAAAAGTAGTTAGTGGAATTGATATGTTTCAAAATACGAACAGTTGCAAAGGGCATACATGGCCATGGGTCATTGATTACTGCAATGCAAGTCGTAAGAATTTAAATTTTAATTGCAAAACAGTATACTGAATACATATTTCTAACAACGCTTTACAAACGGAAATGTTAGGAAGTGATTAAACAGTACATATATTAGGCTAAAATAATGTTAAAACAAGGCTATTGAAGTGCTTTCAGCCCCGAAAATACACTGTCTGTCTATATGTCCACGAGATCATTTGACATAAAGACAAGTGCACATTGTTGACAACACTCATTTGTATGTTTGTTTTAACTGGCTATTAAAACTATGCTTTACATATGTTATTGTAAAAAAATATCAGAGAACGCGTTGAATAACAGCACAATTCGTAGTTATTTACCCAGACATAACACTTCTCACAAATTCCTCATAGTTCACTTGTCCCTTGTGTTCAAGCCCGCTCGTCAACATGTCCACGTCGTCAGTCGACAATTTATCCCCTAGCGTCGTCAACACTTGTCGAAGTTCGGCGCTGCTAATGTTGCCCGAGCAATCTTTATCAAAGACTCTCAAGCAATCCACAAATTCTTGGGGTTGGACATCTCGCGATTTCTGCTTACAGGATAAAGCGATAGGTATAAGATCGTCCAACGAAATTCGCTTATTCCCCACCGGGTCGACTTGTTTTAGAAATTTTTGAACATCGCTTTCTGTCGGGTTTTCGCCAATGCCTCGCAAGATGTCAGCCAAGGCAAGAGAATCGACTTTTCCATCTCCAACAGTATCGTACAGGTCGATCGCATCTTTCAAGGCAGTTATTTCACGGTCATTTAACGAAGACATATCGCAAAAACTTTGTAGGAACTTTCAACTTTGCTACGCACGCCACAGATCAGAAATTGGCCTTCGATTTTGTGAGCTTAGAATATTTAATTAGTTTAGCGGTTTCGATATAAAAGATAAATCGAAAAAGGAATTATTCGTATCCAGCCGAGATTGCATTCCAATGCTTTTGTCATTCTGATTATTAATTGTGATAATTATTCGTCTCGTGAACCGCGTTATCTGTCATTCCGCGTTCCAATTTAACTCTCAGTTCTATTCGTCATGAAGTTTATAAAGTAAATGCTCCGGCTTCGCTTTTTCCAAAGGGCAAAGGCTGACACCTAAAACCTAATTGTACAAATCCCCATTAGAAATAATTCTGCTTGGTTGTATTAGACTAATTAGAGGCTTTCGACAGACCGGACGCGATTCGACAACGCGACGCGATTTTTCGATTTTCATTGAACGATAACTTTGATCCTAGTTTAAATTTTCCAAATATTTAGAAGCGTTATAACATTTTGAGTTATCTGGTCTACATACCTTTCAAAATTTGCTCTCATTAGCTGTTTTATTAACTTTCAAAAACTAAAAAATCGCGTCGCGTTGTGGATTCGCGTCCGGTAGGTAGGTAGGTAGGTAGGTAGGTAATACTTTATTTAAAATTAACAGAAAGAAGAACACGCTAGCCCCATCAACTCTAGGCTGGTTTCCATGGGGGGCGTGTTTAGATCTTAAAAATCATTAAAAGGAAAATTTAAACTAAATATTAGTACACACATACTGTACACGTTACTATATACAAATAATTAGGAAGCATGTCGCTGTCGAACAATTGATTTAAACGAATGAGGCGACTCGGCCAATTTTGCTTCGTTTGGGAGTTGATTCCAGAGCATAGCGCCGCTATATTTAAAACTTTTTTTAAGAAATTCTCGTTTCGGTTTAGGAATTGTTAGATCAGTTGCTGTGTTTCGAAGATGATAATTAGTTTGATCTATTTCTCTTCTGACGAATGACCCCCGGAGACCTGGCGCAGTGTGGTTGTTAAGTATTTTATACATTAATACTGACTTGGCACCAGACCGCCTATTTTCAAGTGTATCCCAAGAAAGCATGTTGAGAAGATCAGCTGAGCGAGTATCATAATTAGCACCCGTTAGGACTCTTGCTGCACGAGACTGAAATCTTTGCAACTTGTCTCTTAGCAACTTACCACAAGTGTCCCAAAGGGGGGACTAAACTGTTTTTTGAGTGTGTGTCTGGACCTTTAGTGGTTTTCAGAAAGCGTTGAATATGGTGCTAGACATGGTGTCAATTTCAAATGTCAATTTGATAAATTATGCCAAATGTGATTACATGTATTTGATGTGAAACAGGAGGTCAATAATCAACAATATGAGGTATATGACTAAAGGGAGAGTTACCAACGGGGGAGTTATGATTTCGGAGAGTTATGTTCAAACCACACCCACTTTCCCCAATGACCACACCCAATTTCCTTGAACTCACATGAGAGAGTTATGTTTGTATAAAAAAGGATAACTCTCTAACATCTTCATAATGTTAACGAGAGAGAGTTACGTCAAACATAACTCTCTCATGTTAGTTCAAGGAAACATCGTGGGAGAGTTAAGAAATTGGGTGTGGTCGTTGGGAAAGTGGGCATGGTTTGGGCGTGGTTCGAACATAACTCTACGAAATCATAACTCTACGAGATAACTCTCCACTTCATAACTCTTCGTTTAGCCGGTCCCGACAATATGTGAACAGTTTAGTCACTCAAAAAACAGTTTAGTCACTACAAGATGACCACCATGTATAAAGAGTTGTACATCAGCAGGTGGTTGTCAATGTCAGAATTTTTGATTCCAGCATGATCAAAGAGTTTCGGCGACAAGAATTTGCATAGAAATTAATTCATCATAAAGAGATCTATTGTTCATCTTCAGGTAAGTTCCAACTTTGCCTGTAACATCATTGTGAATGTTCACACCTGAAAAAATATTAAAGATGGGTTTGAATGGTCTGTGCTACTGGGTAGAACTATGATATTCTGTGCAAAGGCCCTTTGTCGGGAGGTTAGTAACATGCTACAAACTTCCCGACAAAAGGACATTCACTTGAAACATCATAGTTTTACTTGTATTTTTCAGGTTGTTGAATCCATATCCATCTGCATTTCTCTAACAGTCTAACAACTGGCAGTTATTGGAGAGAGAAAATATGATTAAATCTTTTCATTATATGCTCCGATCTTGTATTTGGAGGCAGAATTGAGAGTTGTAGTTTAATATTGTTGCACCTATCTGTGTCAACATTGGGCCATTCCACACTATTTCTGCTTTCCACAGGGGGAATCTACTTCTGATACTGGGAAATGTAATGGGATGTCTGAAGAGGTTGGGGGGCTTATAGCTTATACTATTTGCTGGCCATATCAAAAATTTGTGCAGTTGCCACTACCATTTCACTCTTCTCTTTACACATAACCTCGATTTCTCCAAGTTCATAACCAAAATTTGTTTTGTCCAAATCGATCGTGAATGTACCCAACTTATACTTGCTTCTAAAACTCTCAAATTGTGCTATAGGCTTCAAACCAAATATTTCAACATTACTTGTAGTTTCACCAACCACAGTACCGCTTTCCGCTTTCAAAACTAACGCCAACCGGTCAAAAATAGCCTTTTCCTCTTCAATTTCTTGATATCTATCAATTCTAACCGAATCTGTCTCTCTTTCATGTTGGGTAGGGCACTTTAACTGCCATTTTGTGCCTCGTTTTCGAAACCAATAATTGTTTCGAGTAAGCCCATAACTTTCTGTGTCAAAATACGTGTCTTTTAAATGAATCTCTTTCAAGTATGTCCATCTTTGTTCAAGTAGAACACGTGTGAAGTTAGCAGGAATTTTAAATTTCTTTTCAACTTCGAACATTTTTAGTTCATCAAGCTTTTGCAAATTGCTTTTGCATATATATTTATAATGGTTTGACCCCCCCTGGATTCAATGTATAAATAGTTATTTCCAGGGGGAGGGGGAAACTTCAGTCGGATGGTGAGATTGTGCAGAAATTTGCTCAAAAAGATTGAACGATTAGGTGAGTGCATATCTTTTGTTTATATATTTGCTGTTGTTTTATATGTTGTTTATTTGTTTTTGTGTTGTTTTGTTTTGTTTTGTTTTGTTTTGTTTTGTTTTGTTTTGTTTTGTTTTGTTTTGGCCGACACACGAGTTATTGTGTTCTTGTATAGCTCTGCTTCGCTAGTTTTTATTATACTTTGATGTTTTTCACTTTTTCTTGGCACAAAATCGAATATAATTCATCTAAATATTCGTATAGAACTCCATAATTATCGTGAATTTGAGACAATATGGCGGCCGTAGGCGTATCAGTATTATAATTCTTCATCTGCATATTTGGTAGAAATGGACCTTCATGTTCAAGTTAGCCTATACCTAAAATTTAAAATAAATGTTCAAAATGTTGTAACTTGCGACCTATAAACAGTCCAAATTAAACAAACAAATTTTTGGGATCTTAATTCTGGGTCCATTTATGGAAAAAGTTTGTAGATAGCAGGATGGAGAATTAACCATGCTAACTCTGAGAATGTATTCATAGTGTCAACAACAAGATTTATTAAGATATATATTAAGATTCTAATTTAAGAACAAGATAACTTGGCAGACAGACAGACAAACAAACACAAATAAACAAACAAACAAACAAACAAACAAACAAACAAACAAACAAACAAACAAGGTGAGAAAAGACTATATCAAAATTTTCCACTCCAAGTTTGCAAGACAGTTTCTTTTTGTTTATTTACTTGATAAAACTTAATACAGGACTTCATAAATTAGGCTTTTGTTGACGACAACTAATGCATGTTTACCCCACTGCCACTGAATTCATTTTCAGAGAAATCATATGCCTAGTTATGTTGATGGGTTTGTAGTATATTTAGCCATGCCACTGTCCTGACAATATAAGCATAGAGCAGAACAGTGATAACCAACCCATTTAGATGACTACATTCGCACTAGATCACCAAATTTGGAACCCAAATGATACTTGCACAATTTGACATGGGACACATGGAACCATATAAAATTACAAATCAGGCTCTAAATTCTTCCCAACCTCCTGTAAATGGAGTTTTACGCCCGTATTCTAAAAGCTCACTCACACTCAATGAGTGGAGGTTCAATCTGAGCTTCTCTTGAGTGTCAATGCTGTTTTTGAATAGCTGGAGGGCTTGTGTCATACCTTACTATGTGACTACTCACCCTCCAGCTATTCAAAAACAGCATTGACACTCAAGAGAAGCTCAGATTGAACCCCCACTCATTGAGTGTGAGCTTTTAGAATACGGGAGTTAGATTGCATATGTGAATGACTTGACAATGGGTGTAAACATGCATCAGCTGCAGGCTAGGTCTATTATATTTAAGTTTTTTGATAAAATTACAGGTCATTTTATGTGCTACAATCCTATGAACCGGTTTCAATCTTTTGTATAAATTGTTGCACCCAGCCACGTTTTATTACGACCGTTCGTAATTCCTCATTCTGTCTCGGTGCGGATTGGCTCGTATCATGATCGTCACTTATCGTAATATCCCGTTCAGCGTCGAGCTCAGATCTCTTGCCACCTTTTTGAAGCCGTTCTATTCGCTCTTTTAGTCGCGTACACGCCCGCAAATCGTCGTCGACATTCTGGTCCGGTGTTTTATCGGGATTTTGTCCAAGTTCCTGGATTCGATTTTTAATACGCAACGAAGTGGAAACCTTTTTAGAAATCCCGTTTGACTTTTTCTTGTTAGTTTCATTCTGCGCCGAGTCCAAGTCTTCTAGTCTGCTTTTAAGCTGTTGGACATTCGGTTTTCCGTGATTCAACGGGCTTGTGAGTTCAATCCTTGATTTAGTAGCCGTTTGGTTTTCGTGCGAACTTGAACGTCGAAACACTCCAATTCCATTTTGAATATTGTGCGAGGAATCGTCCTCAACCATCACCTTTTCCTCCGAATTTTTTCTGGATTTCTGGGTGTGCGTTTCACGCTTCGAAAGCTCTTCGACTCGCTTTTTAATACTACAACCCTTGCGTAGAGTTTCTGCTTGTTTTTTCATATTATGTTGACCATTTTCCTTATGGTTTTCCGTCTTAACTTCATTGCTAAATAACTTTGAGAGCCGCCCCACTTTCGACGCAGTGTTCCCATTGGTCCGTTTTGCGTCATGTGCGCTAGTTCCAAGCCCATCCTCCGTTTTTGGCGATTCCTCAGAAGGAAACGTCTCGATGCACAAGTAGTTAACAGTTGGCGGTACTTCAGACATATTTCTATCCACACTGACCAAACTTTTTTCTCTACTAGTACTCGCTTTGGGGTTCTTTTTCCGCATCGCTACAGCGATGTTTGTTACAGTATCTTCTGGTTTCGTTAACACTGTAGTATCTGAATTATTCTCCGTTTCCTTATGTGAATTTGCCGTTATATTTTCATAATTACTGCCAAAGTTTTCCTGTGAATTTGACACTACAGTTTCATGATCATTGCCCATTTTCTCCGACGACAACGTAGAAACACAGTCATTTTCTATTTTTGTCTGTGAGTTTGACATTAGACTTTCTTTCCTATCTACTGGTTTATTTCTTAAATCTCTCCTCGCAGTGTTTTTTCCGTTCTCATCATTTTTCGGTTGTCTATAATCGGCCATGTTCAGTATAGCGCACGTCCGCACAACATGCTGTGTTCCTTCCACTCGTCCATCGCTCGAGTGTGTTCTGTTCTTTTTACTCTTTTTATGCCCCGATTTTCGTTTCCTCTGACGTCGGAACCTATGGACATCTTTTGCAACCGAACTTTCATGGTGGTTCGTCTCCGAATGCTCGCGAATCGTCTCCCACAGCGAATCCTTAATCACGATTTTCTTCTTGGGCGTCACGGAAAATGTAAGCGGTCGAGCTCTGCATTGCTGTCTCTTGGAGCAGTCTGCGCTTTTGGAGCGCGTGATAGGCGTGTGACCAAAGTGTGTGAAGCTTTTCGAAGCCACATCCGAGGGGTCATCCTCCAATCTTGTTTCATCGAAAGGATATTTACTGACCAAGTTTTCTTCACTATATGACCGTTTGAGAGTAAAGACGCGTTGGTATGACCCACTGACGCTGCTTAGCCACGACTGGTCGCTTTGTTCGCCACATGAATCATCAGAGGGAGCGTCCACATAGCTGCCTTGTTCGCTGTGAAAAGCGCTGTGTCTATCCTGGTTACTTAGGCCTTCGTAAATGCTGTCTTGGTTGTATGCGTGATCAATGGCCCCATTTCGATTCCAATCTGTGGTTACTCCGTTTTCCATGTTCTCCTTGTACCCCAGTTCTGAATCCTCAATTTCGCCCGTATCTTTACCATTATATTCATTCATATTTCGACCAACACCACCCTCGACGGGATTCGACTCCACGGGAGCTTTTTCCACGTTAAATATTTCATCCGGTATCGGACTGCCGGTACCACCGTCATCAGGGCTCAAATCGCCAGGAGTATCTTCTTCCGGGGTCAAATCGCCGGCAGTGTATTCATCCGGGGTCAAATCGCCGTTAGTGTATTCATCCGGGGTTAAATCGCCGGCCGTTAAATCCTCAGTGATGTCCTCGTTGGTCAGATCATCGATGCTGCTAGCTGGCGATTTCTCCGGACTGAAATTCGGTGAAATATCCGAAAATGCCATGCTCACACGTTTTATGGTTTGTTGTACGCTTTGGCCAGTTTTAGGGATGACGTCATCAGTCTGTGACGGTATTACGTCGTCAGAACTACGATGAATAAGCCCCTCTTCGGAGGCTAACTGTTCATCATACGAACCCAATCGCTTGGTCTTCGCATGATTCTCTCGTAAGTCAACCAGACCGTATTTCTGTAATTCCTTTATAGACGAAGGCGTATCAATGAGTTCGGTTTCTAAAAATTTCTCGTACAAACGCGATAAGCTGTGTGTACGATTTAGCGTGGACTCGTTTTTGTCGACAGTAAGGAACTCGTTGGTCATGGGGAATTGGCCGGCGGGCATTGATTTACATTTTTGTCTTTTTTCTTTAGCGAGCCTTCGCTTCTTCGAGGGTAGTATATCGTCCTGGCTACCGCGTAGTTTGACGTGACCTGATAGATGGTTATCCACCTCGCCAGTGACGGAGACCATTGTTTTACCATCACGGAGTAGCGATGAAATGGACACTTCGTTGTCGTTGTTGTCCCGGTACTAGGAAACAGAGTAAAGTTGGTTAAATTCTCTGCCGCATTTGGGTAAGTCTATATTATAGTATTAAAAAACTGGTTCCATAGTCAGGGGTCGATAAAGTTGGGACCGATGGTCGCAGGCACATCAGAAAAGATGCGAAGTTTCTTGGAGGCACATTTTCTAACAGAAGATATCAAATAAAATTGATCTTCAGTTATGATTCTTAGTTTGTTAATTTAAAACCTGGCTCATTTGAAGTTAAAATCTGTGAAGTACAACTACTAAATTTCGGTCCACCAGTTGTTCATTAAAGTCTGGACGTAACCAGTTTCAATCATTTGAGTTTCTAAGTTATTGACGGAAAGTTAAAGAACCAAAATTCGATGGACCAAAATCTAGTAGTTGTACTTTACAGATTTTAACTTCAAGTGCGCCAGGTTTTAAATTAACAAAGTTAAACAACCAAAGTTCCCATTCATAGACATTATTAGTAGTGGTCAATGTTACTGGAGAAAATGCATAAAGTCATAAAGGAATGAGCTGCGACAGTCGATTCCCTTACTTTCGCTTTTTTCATACAGACATTTTACAGGCACATCTCACAATAATTTTTGCGGTCCTAGGCACACAAAAAAGTTATCGATCCCTGTCCATAGTATACAAATAATGAATGTTTCTTCGTGCAATGGTAAGAATATTTTCATGAGGTGAAAGATGGAATGTTCCATTCAACGAGGCGACAGCCGAGTTGAATGGAACATTCCATTTTTCACCGAATGAAAATATTCTTACCATTGCACGAAGAAACATTCATTATTTGTTTTATATAATACCAAAATAGACTAAT